TCTTTCTCTTCCTCCTGTCCATCTGTCATTCCTTCCTTCCTATGTGTTCTCACTTGTTTATATATGACAGCTCAAGAAGTGTTAAACTCGCCATCCTCCCTTATCATTCCTCACACTATTCTGTTACACATATTCAGCTGGGTACAGCTTTAGCCACATGACATAAAGCTGCACAATCACACTGAGAGTTGTCACATTTATTCTGAATTATCTCTCAGCTCACTGAAACCTCGTTCTAATATGCCTGTGCATTCACATAAACTGAGATTGGATCTCTTCACTGTGCAGACATCATGAAAATTAACAGAGTGGTTAATTCTCTTTTCATTTTTTTCAAGAAGGACTTTTCAGTAATTGCTGTTATCAATGTATATGATGATTGTATTGTGTCTTTTTTTCGATTTGAAGTATGAACTGCAGATGTTGACATCCCATGCACTGTGCATGATTGGCAGAGCTAAATAGCCGTCACATGCATTATGTATATGGGATCAACGTTAAGTGTATTTGTCACCGCGGCTGTCTGAGTCGGCTCACATTTCACATGAAAGAAAAACACAAGCATGGATATGGTGTAAGAAAGAAACCGCAAGGCTCCGTTTGTTTTTGATGGGAGAAGGATGAAAGGTCAAGGCTGAGCTGGTGTGGGAATATACAGGTCGGAGGCGCTAATATGACGAGTATTAAAATCAAATGTCATGCATTCTTCCTCTGACCATATGGTCAATTTGATTTTCCTGACAGAACTTCAACTTTCTGCATAAAATAATCGGCCTTAATATTGCTCCAGCTGTGTATAGGTGCTTGTTTATCCTCTTTTTACCCCGAAGCTCCGAGACACCGCCTTTGCCATATGCTTGATTTGCCACTGTGTAGGTTTGTCTGCTGCCAAGATGAGGAAATCAAATCTGTCTCTCTCTCTCTCTCTCTCTCACCGACTCACGTGTATCCCTCCAAGTGCATACGCTACATGTCAGAGGATTAGCGTAAATTAAACTAGTACACGTGATGGGTGGGGATTGAATTTCAGGTTTTCGTGATTTCTTATCACTACGGAGCAAACATACCATCATTGTTGTTTTGGACTTTGTTGACATGTAAATATTGTTGAGGTCTGATTGATTTGTTGCTCTTACATGCACACACACACATCAAGGGAAGGTTTCTTTTCTTAGAGCCTGCTGGAGCCTGTCGGTGCTTTAGTTGGGGCCAGCTGATGATAGTCGGGCCAGTCGTGGTAACTAGAGGACAAGAGGATAAACAGCATGAGGTCATTCAAGCTGTAAACATCCATCTGCAGCCAGCTGTCTGTCTGTGTTTGATACAGTCCACTGTGAGCCGCACACTCCTATTTTGCTGTGGTGGGTTTTTTTTTAACTTGGCAAACATAGGATAGTCATCAGAGCTGAAAACAGTACAATCTAGGATGTCACCTAAATTTCCACAGCCCTGATCACATACAGTATGTGTTGCAATTGAGACCGTTGCATTTATAACCGAGGAACAAATAGTTTTTGTTTGACTGGTCCCCACCAGTGTCCACTTTAGAGTCTTTAATGATCCACAGGAGGAAATTGGGTTATTGTAGCAGGTAAAAAAAAAAAATACAGGAGGTGGTGATAGAGCGGTTATAAACAGCAAGAAAGCAAATGCAGTGTGTGAAAATATCATAAAAGTGCTCATCACAACACTTAAAAATAAGTACAGCTCGACAGAGGGGAGGATGCATTACTGGCTCTCTGCATCATTAATCTGTTTAAGTGTGTGGTAACTCTGTCGGTTTGCAGTTTTGCAGCAAACATGACAAATGAAATATGTCTACCTAGGAGTTGTTTATTTTTTTAAGAGTGAATTCCTCGTCCAGATATTTCTTTGCTCGATAGTGTTCTGCAACAATATGAAATGACTTGCTTGTAGCTTTGATTCTAGTGGTTCCGTAACCCACTGTCAGATGAGACATATCAGTGAACAGGTGTTATGTTGGACTCCCATCGAAGTTATTTTCCAAAGAATAGTTTCTTTTAAATGCATCGCCGACTTTTGTTTTTGTCAAAATTATTTTCTTGTCATCTGATGTTGTGTTTTTTGAGGAAAAAATGTTGCACAAAATCACAGTTTTTCACATGTCAGCTAGTTTTTAAGCAGAAATCCAACCAAATGTAGCTTTTAGCTGTTGGTGACATGCGCATATTATTTTAAGCGTGAAGACCGAATGCTTCACCAATCCTCAGTGAGACTTGAGAGCACTACAGCAGGATAGATGCTCCTATAAACGTGAACTCAGATCCTCCTGTGGAGTGCCACTCTGCTCACCATATGCCACCACTTTATCCATTTCTCTCAAGTTCCCCTATTTAACCAGAAAGTGGTGGCACTATAACATCCTCTGCCATGTCTTTGTAATATTAATGTCCTTGTTTGCTTGAGGACACTGCAGACATGAATAAGTTTAATAAATAAAAATTAAAAGAACAGTTCCAGCTTGATCTGCATCATGAGCATGTCTGCTTTGACTTGCTGTGACTTCTTTTTATACAGTGATCGTAATCATAATAGGCTTGTGCTTTGCTAAGTTAAGAAGAGTGCCACTTATTTCAAGTTCACTTTGATGAAGTGGTTTTTACTGTTGGATGTTTTCTTTCAAAGCAGTGCTAAAACAGGGGGGGTTGTCTCTTTGAGAGTTAGACAAAAATATTTTGTGTCCCTAATATTATCACAATAACCATTGATGATAAAAATGAACATCATGTTTCAGCCCCATCCAAAGAGTAGTTGGTCCAGATTTTTGAACTGTGAAATGATTGAGCTAAAACGACTTTGTTATTGAGTAAAACATCTGCTTTTCTGTGCTCCTGAAAGCCCGTTGCATAAGTTTGTGAACATTGGAAGTTTGCCACCGCGCCTTCACAGTATGAGTAAATAGCATAATATAATGTGTAAGTTAAAAATAACACGACTAAGCTTGCTTTTGAATGACTCGAGTGTTTCCGCTCAGCATAGTAACCAGTATTCTGTTCATGTGCTGAACTGAGCTGACCTGTGATGCAATATAGTAGAGTTAGGTCCTGTTGATTTACAACTATACTTCATGAAACGATTTTGCATATAGAAATAATACTGTGATATATTCGACATGGAAAATGTTTAACATATTTCTGTTTGTTTAGTCTGCCCCTTTGACAGAGCATTGGTCAGTCCTCCTCTGAGCCACACCCCTGTGCAAAGATGGGTGGGTCATTCGCTGGTCTGTATAAAGTCGGACATGCAGGCTCTTGTAGTAAACACTTCACACGCAGTCAGGTAGACGGAAAGAGAAACTCAGGGCTCCTGGTTCACCGAAACCCAACTCTGCAGCACTTTCCAACAGACACCTGTCAGACTCTAACATGGCAACGTTCGTGTCGGTGAGTTTTCCATCTCATCAGCATTCAGGGCTGTCAACAGCTCGGCTCAGACTTGCTGACCTCTGCTGTGGTGGTCTGTTCTAACCAGTTTTAACCTTGTGCAACTCCGAGTGGCTCGTGTCGCTGATGGGGATTTAAGTTACTGAAGGTTTGGAGGGATGTTGAGGAGTCTTTAATCAACACTAAATAGCACTTAACACTGTTTACTGCATTTTCTACACTGAAGAAAGTTTCCTTCAGGGACAGAAGTGTAATTATCTCCCCTGTTCAAGAGCTTCATGTTGTTGAAGTGTGTTAATATGACATAAAACAGGATCTGTAGCTTGTCTTATTGGGTCAGCTTATTGCTGGGATGATCTCATTGCCTCCAAACTGTTACCATCACTTGGTCTGAGGGTGTTGTCTTAGTTGTGAATAATGGACTGCAATTGAAAAAAGAGCTTCTGCAAATGTGGAAGAGTGATTGGGGTGTGCCGTCGCAGTTAGTCCATTTCAGTAATTCACGACAGTGTTTGTTTTCGGAAATAGCGGATTTGTGCTTCATTAGGTTCTTATTGATTAATTACTGGTGATTTTGCAGCCGCCTGTGTGACATATACTGTCATTTGTCCCAGTCACTGTGTAATTGCATGCAATGTGATGTTTTATTAGGACCCTACAGAGTGCTAGGCAGGAGTTTAGGATGCCAGTAGTTGTCATAAGCGTCTCATGACATGGCAGTTGCACCTTGTAACTCTCATAAGTGTCTGCATGCTTTCCCTTAAATAGAGGCATTTTTTTGTTGGTGTGTGATATGTGTATGGAGTTACATGAGAGATTAGAGTTAACTGAAGTGTCATTGTAATTGTAGCTTTAAAAAAAGGGGGGGTTCATAGGGTTTAGTTGCTCACTGACGGTTTTGATAGAATCCATACCCTGAATAGGTCAAACTGCACAGCAACAGCCCCGACTTGCCCTCTCATAGTCTAAAGACAATGTTCTCCATCCCACTTTGGCATATCCATCTATTTTCATATCTGTGCACACGCTCAAAGGTAAAGTTATGTTTGGCACGGCCAACAGGAAAAGCCTCAGCTGTTAAATGAATCTCCTGTCATGGATTTGCTTCGTGAACCGCATTGTGAACTATTCCTCAGCTGAGAGACGGCGGTAGATATGCCAGACGTCTTTGAGGCATTCGCTGGCCCCTGCGTCACCCAGAGCATATGAGCAGAAATCGTTACAGCCACAGCTAGTCGTGCTCTCCGTGCCCCGGGAGTCAACCCATCACTGCGGTCAATGACCAGACTGAGTCACCGCAAACTCTTGCACGTCCCGTAGAAAGTCAGGCGGCTGTGACGATGCTGAGTTTGATGAAAAATTACAGCAGGACTAAGAAACGATCAACAGTCTTTCTCTTAGATGTACACCAGTTGGTAAATAGATTAATATGCATAGTTTCAACAACCTTTTAGAAAACCTCCACAATTTCCTGCCAAGTATTCCTGTGAGGACACCGTGTACGACTTCACCTCAAAACCTCATTATGTATGAGAGGAATATAGATGCAGGCCATGCAATATTAATGAATATGTTCCTCTGCTCTCCTTATCCCAGATGGCCACCTGCCATGCTTGCAGTAAGACATCCAGACACAAAGGAATGAACAGGGATTTTACATCTACCCTCGCGAAGACCCACAGCACGCCTGGGAGCGTCGGCAAATACAAGACACCTCAGTCAGCCGCTAGATCCAACATGACGACCCCCAAGACTCCAGGCAAAGACAAGACACCTGTTCATACATCTAGGTAAGTTTTTTTTTTCATTTTTTTAAAAACTTGTTGCTATTAATATCTCCTGAGCTAAGAGTTAAGATACCACCTTCCTTTACTAAACTTGGGAGGTGTCGCAGACATCCAAGAGTGTGATGTGTGAGGCACCTAAGTACTTGAATGATTAGGTTTCTATTTATTCAGCATTAAGAGAACTGCAGCGAGTTAGACGAGTTGTACGTGCTGGTTACATGGTTCTAGGATACTTTTAGCAATTCCTGCTAACCTACAAAATCTCAAGTTACTGTTTCTTAGCTCTTCCTTCATCTCTCTCTTTTTCCTCTCTCTCCCTCCAGGTCATCCACCTCTTCCAGCACTTCAGGGTCGAGCTCAGCTTCCTCCAAGACGCCCTCTAAATCTAAAAATTGGGTCGTCCAGCGTCTGAGCAAGATTCTCATGCGAGAGGACAACCAGAGCAGAAAGAAGGGGGGCTTGAAAGATTTTCTGTCCGCCCTCTGAGTATCTCTTTGTCTTTAAGATTATGCTTAAAAAAACAAGGGGAGTTTGACCCATGTTGTAACCTGTTTACGCCAGAGGATAAGGGGGGGAACTTAAGTAAATATCCTCAGGTTCCAAACCGGTGAAGGAAGGGTTACAGTTTGCCCACCAACACTGCTGTTGCTGGGCTGATTGGAATGGCACTCCTGGAATCCTGAATGTAACGACTGAGAGCACTGAGCTATTAATCACTTAGTGCATCTTGTGCTGAGTCAGACAGAGAGGATTGCTTCTGTTGTCTACTTTAAGACATGCCTCTTGTGATCTGGGATGATACTCATAGTGGAATGTTATTTATCAAATTGCTGAAACATCACAGGAAGCCCAGCTTTAGTGTTTGGCGGCAGTTGTGGCATGACAGGCTGGTTTACATGCCAATATCATTCTGCATTTTGGATTTTTTTTTTTTCTAAAGTTACAATCACACATTCATATGAAAAATATATTATAACAAATTGCTATCAATGTTAAAACTTTTGTATTTGAATTTATTTACCCGCTTCAGTTTTTGGCCCTCTCCATTGGGGAGATGTCTGTAAATTCATTTGTTTTAGCATAAGTTCAACATGACAGAGTGGCAAATGTATAGAAGTTTTGCCACTGTTGGGATTTTGTCTGTGCATACAAATGATTTTGAAGCTGTGCAAGTCACCAATGAAAATGTTTTAGTTATCATTTAGGATCATCAGTTGCTGTTTACATTGAGCAGGCTCATCTGCCTACAATCTGTACATCAGTGTTGTCTAAACTTAACATTTTCTTTTGATACTTTCTTTGGCTGTGTATTTTTGGAAAGCTTACTCTTTTCATTGTTTTGTTAAGAGCAGGAATATTAAATATATCTACTGCATTTTGTACCGACAGACTCTGTTGTAGATCAGCTGTTTAATGAGCAGCATGTGTTTATATCCTGAAATACCTCACATTTGTATTCTACTACTGTGATACTCTGAATTAAAACCTTTCAAATCTGTGAAACTCTTTGTCCTTAGTCACATTTGTGTGCTTGAAAATTTTTTATAATGCAGCATCTGTGTTGGTTTAATGTTCACTAAAATGACAATAAATGGCTATAACATGTTCCATCAGTTAAGCTACATTTATTGGGGATGTTTTAGGGAATCTTTACACCTCGCGTTGCTTAGCCGACAACGCTTCACTACATAAGTCATCTCAGGACACTTCACATTCTAACATGTAGACCTTACAAAACAATATTATACAGAGAAAACCATCAAATTCAAATAGTCCCTTTGAGAAAGCACTTTGATGACAGTGGAAAGAAAGGGAAAAAAACTCCCTTTAACCAAGTCTCAGGGAGCTATCTGCCTCGACTGGTTGGAGTTAGAGAGGAAAGGATAGCAGAGAGAGCCAGACAAACGACACATAAGAGAACAATAAACTCCGGGGGGGCTGATGAGGCCTGTAGCTACAGATCAGAAACGTGCAGCTCTGAAGTCAGAGATACCCGTAGAGTGGACAAAATGCAAACCACCAGACAGAGAAGGCAAAGGGTAATGAAATGCAATAGTGACATAGAAATGCATGTAGAGTGAAAAAAGGGGGGGAAGTCAAACTGTATTTAGAATGCTGTAAGATGAGGCACAACAAGAAAGTAACTGCGCCAAAGTAAAATATAATAAAGCCTACCTAAATAGTAAACTAAGAATAACTGCACAAAAGTATTAATGCAGCATTTAATATGTTCAATTCTATCCATTCTTTTCAACACAAGGTAAAAAGGTATTTGTTGCTCCAACACACAACAGAGTGGACATCATAAAGCGTGCACTTTATTGGTAATGAAGATGATGAGCAGATCAAGGGAGAAGTCACCACAACTCAGTGTGTTCATCACGTAGTGCCACACATCTGATACACACAGCGTTGGTGAGGTTGCCGATGCTGGCTTGAGTAATGCTGTTCTTATCCTTCTGAAGGGTTGGAACATCCATCCGGAGCACCACGTGGCAGATTGTCATCTTTGGCATCATGTCATTTGAACAAAGCTGCATTTGAAGGTGGCCTTTATTAGCCGCTGGTCAAAGGAGTGTCTGTGTTCTGGTCACACCGTCTGAGCATTATCCTTCTGGGCTTCACCTGACTAGGATGTAGATTAGGACTGTAGGAGCCATTTATGTTTGTTGTCAGCAGATAATTTAATATGGATTGTTTGCGCAGAGGGTGTATATGTAGAGGGCACAGGTGACAGGAAGAGGAGGGCACAGGTAGGGGGAGAGGCAACAGCTCTCACCAGATCAGACCAGCACAGATACCAAATTCATGACGGGAAAACGGCTGTATTTTCATTTCGTGCATACCATCGAATAAACATCCACTAACGGTAAGTATACTGACTGGAGATTCTGTTTTTGGTCTGCATCGGTTCACTCTGCTCCACCTGTGCAGTAATTAAAGGACATTGGAAAATTGCCATAACAAGGACAGTGATAAAAGATTTGTCACTAGCTAAACAGCTCAAATAAATAAATAAATACATAAATAAATAAAATTCTGCACAATATGGCTAAAATAAACCCTTTTCTAACCAGTAGACCAAAAGGTTTGATATTTAAAACTTTTCTCTGAGTGGGAAAAGAAGATGCTGCATTTATATTTTTGCTCTGTGTTGGAAAAAAAAATCATAAAAGGATGTACAATTATATATACATAAGGTATTTCTTGAACTTTTTTTTTTGTTAATTGAAACTGGATGCTGGTACAAAACACACTGTACTGTGTATAATTGTGTATGTGGTAAATAAAGCTTATCGAAAATTGGGAATTCCACATGCAATGATTGAAAGTTAATGGCATCAGATATATTCAAAACAAAACTAAATATGAAATAAATTTGCAAAAAAGAAAAAAAAATACATGGTTATTGCTGGTGGGAAAATTGTCTGTTTTTAGAGAAACTGCAGAAAAAGCCCCAAAAGCATCAGACAATCCAGCCGCACTCTCCATGCGTTACCCCCTGTGTCCTGCAGGTGGCGCTGGACTTTAACTAACCAACCCGGCAGCACACAGGAAGTGGAGCAGCGGCACAGCAGCAATGTTTGCTAGTTAGCACGGTGCTAGGTAGCTAGCGGCTAGTTAGCATGGTGGCCGGGACGTTTCATACGGAACTGTTAACCCAAAGAAAAAGCTTTGCATGAATCATTCATTCTAATTTAATGCTGTTTCCGGGCCACAGTTTGCTCGTATCAAGGCGGAAATGTCGGACAAAAAGCGAAGAAGAGACAAGGAGGACAAACGAGAGAGCAAGAGACACAAGGCATCCAAACATGATATGGAGAAACTCAAGACACACACGAAAAAACTCAACCAAGAAGTCCAAAAACTGAAACACGTCGAGACCTTGTGAGTAACTGTAGCGAGAGCGTTTCTGCATAACCTCGCAAACTTGTGCATGAATTATAAATGTGACTTAACTAATGTTTTCCCACAAACTTAAATTCCCTTAGGTCATTTTTTTAAAGGAGTATTTAAGTCAAGTTTGCAAGCATTAATAAATCAGTTATTTGTCCTCAGTGGGGCATTTAGTTATGACGCAGTGAGATGAAAATAATTATAAAAGCAGGGCTTCTTCAACACAACCCTAAATACGTAATTCAGTTAAAAAGTCAGTGGAACAATTGGTTAAATAACTCAGCATTTTCCTCCAAGAAAAGGAGAAAGATGGCAGAAGGTATAAAGGAGTGTTTGGATCTATTGGCTTTAGTTAGAAGTCTGAGGAGGGAACCAGATGGCAGAAACTGTTGATGAAAAGGATGAGAACAATCAGACTGGATGGATTCTGCTTTCTTATGTAATTGTTATAAATATCCTGCAGGGTACAGTACCAGCTATTTTGCTACAGGCATGATTTTTATTTTATTTTTTTTAGCTTGACCTTGAGCGATTGATGCCAGCAGATGAAAGAGAAACAGAGCACAGACGAAATTAAAGATTGATGAAAAAATAATAAAAACATTGTCATCAGGGTCCCGTCAACCTGGAACTGAGAGAGTTTACTGAGACAAAAGAGACTCTGCTGGCTTTTCTTTGAACACCGTGTCAGTGTTACTCTGGAATTCAGTTTATAGTCGACTGTAGTTCCCGCGTACTTGTAGCGCTCCGCTGTTTCTGTATTCTGGCCATCAATCACCGTACTGTTCTGAGAGAGGTAGACCTGTCACAGGTATTACACAATCACCCGACTGAATTATTCAAGCTGACGGTGATCATTTTGCATAATCTTAAGACTCATTTCCATTCGCCTGAATAAAACTTCTTGATGAAACTCACAGAAATGTCATATTTCAAACACTAGTGCCACACATAAGCCGTTTCCCCTCAGGGATCAATAAAGTATTTCTGATTCTGATTGTTTTCCACCTTCTTCTGCTATGTTTTATTGACTCAAGATGCCTAAATTCTATGATTCAACCGCCTGCATTTCAATGAGCATCTATTGAAATTGATACCATGTGTTTAGGATTCAAGGTCTTTTATTGGTCACAAACACAGTTATACTATATTTGTCAGATTTGCAGCAAAAAGTTAGTGGTTAAATGTGCTAATAATACTAATCTGAAACTGATAGAGGTGTTAATTGAAGAGAAAAAGAAATATTTGTGTGACAACAGTTTCATGATTGTGACAGAGAAGGTTGGGAACATCTAAAGTCAATGCACATGTTCTTAGTTTTTGCCGCATTTAGTGCCAAAAAGTAAAATTAAAAAATATATTCAACAACATGCGACCGGCCTCATGAACAAAGCGCTAGACCCCCACTGACCCCTCTATGGACAGACACATTAACATCTTCTCTCTCTGCTCACCATCTCATTATCCTCACTGTTACTGGTCATGGTGCACCTCCACACCGTGCACTCTTGTCAATAACTACAGCTCTATGCTTCTTATTTAAACTTAATTTCACTGCACAATATCTTTTGCTTCTGCTTTGCACTACTACTAGTTATTTTTATCTTGTACCTCACTGTATATTTATTGTTGCACCAACCCGCCAGAACAAGTTCCTCATATTATGCAAACTGTACCTGGCAATAAATCTGTTTCTGATTCTGACATTTCATGCATGCTACTGCAGTGATTAATCTGCAGTATGTACAGTAGGGGAGAGAAGAAGCAGAGCCCAGCATGTTACAGACAGCTGAAAAAACAGACCACTTATTTATTACACCCTGTGTGTCCTTCATGTGTGGAAATCTAGACATTTAGAGAGTTGGGAGCAGAGCCTATGGTGGAATAATTCCTTTGTTTTGGGGTAAAGGATAGATAAACTGAAACCGATAGAGAGGGAGACAACAGAGGGGGGGAAACAGAACAAATTTACAAGGGGGCAAAAAACTACAAAAAAATCCTAGAAAACTCAAAACAAAGAACTCAAAGAATTCAAAGATAGAAAACTAAGCTACTCAAACAAACGGGGATACTCACAAAAGGGGACAAAAACAGAGGGGGGCAGACAGGTTCGGGGAATCCAGGGTGAAACCGGTGGCAGGAGAAAGCTGGCTGGGGGAATGCAGGCTGTAGAGACTGGCAGGAGGAATGGCTGTGGTCTGGTGGATTGTGGGGGAAAGAACTGAGTGTTTTATGGGAGCTGTGGTGATTGTGAGGAGGTGAGTCCGGAGTTGCAGCTGTGGGTGATCGTCCTTAATTGAGGCTGGGGGGTCATGACAAATAGGTTTGATTATTTGCTTGATTGAATATTTATTTTTGCACTATTAACTTTTATCTGATCTTGCCTTCATTCAGCTATGAGAAACCCCCACCAGGATACATCAAGGTAAAGTTAATCACACACTAAAAGGCATGCCAGTAAATGCACAAGATCTCACAGGAGATATTTTGCATTTCAGTATTTAATTCATACAGAGACATGTTGAGAATTAGTGACAGTGACAGTTCCTGTTGTAGGAGCACGAAGAAAAACCCGAGGACTGCATTCCCGCTGAACCAGGAAATGAAGAAGCCAGGAGCTTCCTGGCACACGCCCCCACCAGGGGGCTGTGGATGCCGCTGGGGAAGGAGGTGAAAGTGATGCAGTGTGAGTACCGTTACACAGTTTCACATGTATTTTCCCAGGTTTACATTGAGAGAACATGCTGCTCGCACTCGTATCCGCAAAAATGAGGTCTTTGGATGGATTTTCATTACACCTCCGACACTGTGTGCAGCTACAGAAGTAAGGAGTGGATATCAGAGGTGACGCTTGTTAATTAATTAGACTCTTTTGTCAATTAGAAGGAAATCTGTTCCATGATACAGCCCGTTGCTCTCAGAGCAGGGGCCAGAAGACGCCTCACAGGAGTCATTAATCAAACTCTCTCTTCAGTGAGTTTTGAATCTTTACACTTGTCCTGAATGTTGGCGTTAATGTATTTTTATCACTAAACCCTTACTGAAGGTGTTGTCTTTTGGTCTAACAGTCTCATTTTTCTTTTTCTTTTTGGTGTTGGTAGATCAGTACTTAATTGTACACATGGAGCCCTGAAAAGGTCTTAAAATGTGTGACACTGGGTAAATGATTTTGAACTTTAATTCAAGAATTCTGTAAAATATATCAATTTTTTTCTTTTAAGTAATTTAACAGTGATTGCAGCGTGTTTTCTGATAGGTTTATTTCCCATTCCTTAGTTATAATAGGTGTTTAATTATCCATTCTGGATTGTGTTTAGGGGCTGCATGGTGGTGCAGTTGATAGCACTGTTGCCTCGCAGCTAGAAGGTTGCTCTTTCTGCGTGGAGTTTGCATGTTCTCCCCGTGCAGCATGGGTTCTCTGACTTCCTCCCACAAGTCCAAAAACATGTTGAGGTTAATTGGTGATTCTAAATTGTCCGTAGGTGTGAATGTGAGTGTGCTTGGTTGTCTGTCTCTAAGTGTAGCCCTGTGATAGACTGGTGACCTGTCCAGGGTGTCCCCTGCCTTCACCCTAAGTCAGCTAGGATAGAATCCAGCCCCCCCATGACCCTAGTGAGGATTAAGCGGTGTATAGATAATGAATGAATGGATAGTGTTTAAATGGCCTTAAAAAGTCTTTACATTTATGTTGATTGTTTTTTTCAAATCTTGTTTATTAGCAAAGTAACAGCAGCATATCTGAAACTGTATGTAGGTGGGTCTAAACCTCCATGATGAGTGGGCAGTGGTCTTGATAGGGGATAAATGTAACATTTAACACTAAGTCCATTGTTTTTAACTCAAATGAGGGAGTAGAGATTAATAAGTGTGTTGCGGAGATTACCTTCTGTCCTTCTGACAAAAACAATGACTATGATTATATTCAGTGTCTTTTCATTCCTTCGTCCCACACGTTCTGATTCTGCACGAACAGTCAGGGACTTTGAAAGTCAACACACACACACACACACACACAGGGTGCCCGTCCACATGTTGGCATTTGTTCTGCAGAATCTGAGCACGACTTGCTCGGCTTAATCCTTTCAGAAAATGTTTACATTTGTCAGAACAGACAGACTCTGCTGCCAGTGACAGTTTTTTTTGCGCAGAACTTCTTTGACAGAATAAGCACAATTTGTGTTCTCACTTTCCAAAACCCAAGTTATTCACAGAAGCTACACTCCCACTTGAAGCGCAGAGCATTAAAACAGTGTGAAACTTTGACATAAATTCTTCTTTTCAGCGAAGAAAAAAAAAAAAAAAAGAACGTGGTATTGCATTTCACATGGCCTGTCTTTGATAATGAGGCCTACAGTTTGCAACACATCAATACTTGAGCGGGGCATTCTGAGTGTGTGACTCCAAGTTGTTTCTTTTGCCTTTTTTTAAATTTTTATTTAGCTCAAGCAAACTTAAGGAAAAAGATTTCTTTACCCTAAAAAAGCTACAGTGAGTGAAAATCCTGGAAAACGTTTGTCTAGTTTAACAAAATAATCTTACTTCAAGGTCTACTTTCTAGCTTCTAGAACAGCCATCATGTGATGATATAGTTGCATAATGTATAGTTGTATAATGTAGCTGGCTCAGTTGTCAGCAAGTACAGAACTTAAGTCATATAACAGGTGTTCAGAGTGGTAAGGTATGGCAACTGACCTCAAGCAGAGCAAGTGAGCATATGTTGAATTGCTGTGAAAGGTCATAAGAGGCAATTGAAAACTCTAGAAATGCGATTAAGTGCTACGATTATGATGTCAAACTATTGTTCTTAAGCGTAGGAGCTTGGTTTCATGTGTTTGAGAGGAAACCTGCTACGTACCTGATAAGCCAGTCGTTCCATTTTACTCAAGCCGACTCGGTGACATGTTTATTTTTTCCTCTGCAGGCTGGAGGTGCAAGCGCTACGGTCACAGGACAGGAGATAGGGAGTGTCCCTTCTTCATCAAAGGCAACCAGAAACTCGAGCAGTTCAGGGTGGTGAGTTTGTTCGCCCACCCATTGCGACTGTTAAATAATGCCTTAGAGTCAAAGGGTTTAGGTTCAAGGAGCTGTGACAGAGGCTAAAGTTTGTTTCTCAGACCTAAACTAAGGATGGGACACATTTAGTTTTTACACATGTGGGCAGTAGACTTATTCACACAGCTTGCTCCAGTGTGCCTGGAACAATACCCACTGCAGGAACACACACACACACACACACACACGCAGACACACACACAGCCTCTGCAATGATTACCATAAATGCAACTGTGTCATATTTTCCAACCTTGTATTGTTTCAATATTTTTAAAAGTGCTGACATAACAGTGTTTGGAATATGTGGAGTTCCTGCTTCTCGTGTGAATAATGTGGCAGCTCTTATTGTAAGAGGGCATGTTTTTGCTTTTTTCTTGACACATTCTGTTATATTTTTAGGCTCATGAAGACCCAATGTATGACATCATTCGGGAGAACAAAAGGAATGAAAAAGAAACCAGGTAGGTAATTAGTATGTTGTGTATTGTTTATATCTGTTGCTGTAATACCGCTGCGTTAGCATCAACGTTTTGCCATGACAGAACAGACAAATAGACCGTTTCGGGGCTGCGCTCAGACATTTAGATCACACACTTGAGAGCTTGCAGTTTTTGACTGTTTTCCCTCAGCGGAGTAGGACAATCTCAGATGACCTGGAAATTCTCCCATGCTGGCTGGTTCCCTGTGCCGGTTCCTAACAAATAGTGTTTGACACCAGGATGTTTGAATTTGAGGTTAGTTCAGTGTGAAGGCTCACTGCAGGAGGCCTGCGTGTGTTTGTACATGTAGAGCGGCAGCACACACGCACTTGTGTGTGTTTTTGCATGCATTACAAAAAGGTTATTTAAAGGCCAGTGACACTTTGAAGTCTCAGTTGCGTGTCTGTGCCACATTAATTTTGGCATCTCCTTTGAAAGGGAAGTGAAACGGCGCAACCTTTCCCAGCTGGCTTTTTAATTGTATGTACAGTATTTGGTCTGAAGTTGTGCTCGACGTGGTCGGCTGCTATCGTGGCGTGCCGACTGATTGAATCATTTAATGACAACTTCTAGAAATCTGCTTCTTTAAGGTTTAAGATATCTCACATTTAGGATGTAGGAGCAAGTATTTAATTATTTGTTTTGCATTGCCCATTTACTCTTCTGTTCTGTTTTCTGTCTCGTTTGTTTTGTCTGTTGTCCCTTAGATCAGAGGGTCTCAAACTTTCTGAGCCACGACCCCCAAGATAACATAAGTTTGTGTTTGTGACTTCCCCAGTTTGAATTTTTTTAATATGGCATGAGTAATAACTTTGTTGTTCATGCGTTAATGCATTAAAGATTAATACGTTAATTCCACTGATTAGTCTCTTTACACTAACACATTAATTTTCTTTTAAAAGAATGGATGAATTCAATTTATTTCGAACAAATGAAAGAGGAAAAAAAAATAAAAACAAAGAACATAATTTTAAAAAGAGCAAAAAAGAATAATAATATTGCATGATCAAATCATAATATTAACAAGTTCAAAAATGGAGTGGGAAGAAGTATACACTTTTAATTTTGGCAGCCCTAATACACATTTATTTGATAAATGTAGGCTTTATTGTATTTTTTTTACAATGATCTGGCGACCCCCTGAACTTATCTTGAGACCCCCAGTTTGAGATCCACTGCCTTAGATTGTCGTTTTTCTCTATTTTAACGATGGGTTCAGGATTTTTCACATCTGTCTTACAGCAATGCTGATGTGTCCATTGGAGGCTAACTATTCCTTCTCCCCATAACGACCCTGAAGCTTTTCTCCTAGACCACAAGAAATCGGGGGCAAAGCTCCGCTCCAAAGCTTGACTTGGCCTCATATAATGTGTCAACAGACCCACTAAGCCGGAGTGAGTTTTATTACTCAGAGTTACAAGCTGCAGCGGAAGGATACCTTCTCGCAGACGTGTGTAGGTTTAGCTGCCGGCTTATTACTGATGTGTTGCAGACTGAATCAGGAATGCGGCGTGAACTATTACTTATATCAGAGGTTGAACAGCGTGCGCTAACATTTATTTCTATAAAACAAATAAAGGTGAGCTGCTGACTGCGGTGTAATCACTGCAGCGCTTTTAGCAACAATATCTTACTCCTACATCTCCACATAACTTTAGTTGACTGATAATTAACACATTCCCGGTATTCATTTGCACTTGAGTTGTCAGCTGTTGTTAGCTCTTCTGGTGATGGCACAGCGGTGCCCTTCAGACTTTCTTTTTCTCACAGTACTTCTTGTGCTGTAGTAATTGTCCTCTAAAAGCGGGCTCCAGATACACGGAACTCTCTGAGCTTTGCAAATGCTGTATTTATGTCCATTTTGTCCAATATTAACTGGAGCCCATTTCTTTTTCCATCAATACACAAATCACATTTTGTCCCATAAGGCGTGCATGAGGCAGGAACAAACCGAGTGGAACTGGAGGGAAACAAGAGAAAGAGCTGGACGGACGCTGAGACATCACACATACACAAACATACCCCAAATAACAAAAAGTGGTGTTTTTACCACATTATTTGTGTCCCAAAGCTACAAGCTGCAAAGTATGAATTCACTTCCAGGTTAACTCAAGTCATAAAGGTTTTTTCATAACAACAAACATGCAGCTGTTGGAGTGTATCCTTCCACAGGGAGCTATTATCCTGGAAAACACAAGGAGAGAAAATTGTATTTAATCTCCTGTAATTTTGAAAGATGCTGCTTCGTGGGACTGCAGGAGCTTCACATGAGGCTTGGTCAGACTTTGGAGAGGATTTTTTTCACAGAACATACACTGTGAAGTTTGTCCCTCGTTTCTTACACCGTGGTTGTTGTCTGAAGAGCTTCACTGTCAGTATGGAGAGTGGAACTAGTTACAGCACCAAGACAAATTCTCACATACATCCGAGCACATTAGATGATTTTAACACACACTTGAAAAGTCCTGAACACATCATTATTGTGTTTTTGTTTTTTATATAAATGATTGATGAGTGTCTGTGAGGTTTGGCTCCTCTTTTTGTGGGGTTTTTACAGCCTGTGGCTTTAATATGAAGATGGGTTATTTTAGAACTTGATGGCAGACGGTGGGTGACTGAAACATAATGTCTCTAATAATCTCAGCGCTGACAGTGAGCAGGATGTCTACCTTTTCCTTATAAAGTGCATTTGAGGAGACCGTAGTCTTTGTATTGAGGGAAGACACATTTTGAAGGTTTAACTATTGTTGATGGACCTCTCTTTGAGGACTAGAGGTGCACATTAAGGAGGAGTGTGACACTGCGAGCGCTCTGATCATCTCCTCCGTCTGATCTACGCTGCTGTAAATGAGTCCATGTGGACACTTCACAAGAGCACGTCAACCTTTTCTGAGAGACTCCTGTCACGGTGGAATAATCAACAGATTCTGGATGTTTTGTGAAAGATGCTACACTTCTGATGTCATTACTCTCAGCGTGCCAGCTCGCTTTTCTGAGGAACTTAAAGGCGTCCTTATTTTCTGATGTTCTGGTTTTGCTTTGTGAGCCAGATGAGCTGGTATTCTTTGGCCGTCTGAAGCAACTGAGATCACTACATTTATTATTGACTCGTCTCCTTATTTATGTAGTGTGAGCGCTGTGGGGTCAGAGGCAGCTACACTGAATGCACAAAAGATTTTTTGGTTGTGAAGTAATTATTCAGTTGTCTTCTCTCATTGATGTTTGTGTAAAAATCGCTGCCTTGTTTGTGAAAACATACATTTAAAACTTCCTCAGTGATCAAGCCTCGTATTTCAGCAACAGAATGACCTTGTTGTTCAGCCCTGTCCCAGTGTGCTCCTAAAAACCTCCTCACACCTGCACTTTTATTAATGACTGGGGCATTATGACTATCAGAAATGTGTAACATAAGCCTGTCCGGAACAAAGACGGCGTCTCGCACAAGGACGTTCGAGATGCCGGCCAACCTGGACACCCGAGTCTGCATCAGCTGTATTTTCCTCCCTTGCCTCTAATTCCACCTCCTCTTCTCTTTCCCTCCCTGTCCTTCCTGTTCGCAGGATCCAGCAGCTTCAGCAGTTGCTCCAAGACACCACGTCCTCCTCCTCCTCCTCGTCCTCCGACTCGGACAGCTCCTCGTCTTCGTCGTCCTCCTCCGACCACCACCGCAGCAAGAAGAGGAAAAAGAGAAAGGACAGGAAGAAGAAAGACAAGAAGAAGAGAAAAAGGAAGCGAAAACACAAATCCTCCAAAACAAGTGACTGCACAGATTCAGATTGAGGATTTTTTTTGGAACACGTGAAACTTGAACACTACGTGCTTCAAACGTAGGAAACAGACTGAATGAAGCAGCAGAAATTGTAGGTTGTTACACAGTCGTGAACTGTGCAGTGCATCGGGAAGAAAGTGCACTCTGGAGACCCCCTTAAGCCTTTTCTCTGCAGGTTGAAAACTGTACATCCACTGCGCATGACTTCCCCCAGCCGTTTGACTTGCCCCAGGATGACGACTTGCATTTACATCCTCTCTGTTAGATCATACAGCACCGAGTCAGATGGAATGGCTGCTTAAGTAAGTGTGTGTGTGTAAGTGTGCCTTGGTGCATATGTGTATGTCAAAAAGCATTTTCTGCATGGGTAATGAATCCAACGTGATTACGGAGCGAGCCTGCTGGTGTAAGAGATAATGTTCTTTCACAGGTTCTAATAAGATAGTCTGCCAGCAAATACAGCGTGTCATTAAGAGATTGTATTTCCCACCATATTTTGTTATTCTTGCCATTGCGCTGGTATTAAAAACTTTGATTGTAGAGTGTGTTAAACGCAAGGAGGTGGAAAAAAAAAAAGAAGGAAAAAAAAGTCCAAATTAAACGCTGGAACGCAGTTAGAAAATGTTTTCCACACAAGCACGAATGTTTAAATGCTTGTGACTGTACGTAAATATTTGGAATGATTTGAGGTCGGAATATGCTTATTTGCTCTGTGAAAGCCACAGAGATGGGGAAAGAATGTATTTGAATATGTTCCCTTATTCTGAGAATAAAGACGGCTATTTTTCTCCAAAGTTTACCCAACCCAAGGCTGCAAAAACAACGTTAATCATTTTGGCCTCGGCTTAATGTGCGTGACACCGTTTTTCATGTTGCTGATGACTTAATGTTGCGAAGATACTGCAGAGAAGCTGCACAGAAGTCGGATCATTAAAAAGTACGCAGCACAGTACTGCGGTGACCTTCCTAAGAGCCAAAGAACATTTTTCTTTTGATCTTGTCCTGCTAGCAGTCTAAGGATACTTCAGAGTGTTTCTCAAAAATCATTTCACAGTCTATAACCTACAGAATGTGCTACCATCAACAGCTGCTCATCAAATCGTATTGTTCTGCTGCAGAACGACGTTGTGTACAAGAAAAAGTTAGCAGACGCTGACAGATCACCGGCACATTCGCCCTTTAGTTCACATTTGAGGAAGTCTGAAGCTTCTGTTCTTCATGAACAACATTTTCTAAAAGGAATCCCCGTGGAAATAAACTGGAAACATTCCCTCTTCCTAATGACCCTGATAGAGAGACAATTACAGTAGACCTACAGGGAACAAGCAAACCAGATTTCCATTTAGATTTGAGTCTTAGGCCTTCTGAGTAGTTCAAACGCTGTGGGGAGCATATGTGTTTGTGTGAGAAATTACAGCTCCATCAAAGACTGACAGATAATACAGCCATGAGAGCACATTAGTTGCTGATTGGGAGCACGGTTTTATTTATTTCCGCGTCTCACTCCCCTCTTTTCTCATCTGCTTTCTGTGGCAAGTATCCATCTTCTTTTCTTTTTTTTCTGGTGCTTTCACCAATAAGTAGATAAATCAGTTTCACTGAAACAGTCTGTTCCACGTTAACTTTTCTCCCCGTCTCTGAGTAGCACAATGAATCTCCCAGATGAGATTCAGTCACAGAAGCTGCTCAGAGGGAGGCTGTGCCACGTAGAGAGAATCTGGTCAGTGGAGAGTCTTTATTGAAGCACTCTGTCTTCTTGGACAAGGGACGGGTCAGACCGAGTGCCAGGCCGGACCCGTGGTGCTGATTGTGTTTGAGCCTCGACGTACGATGAAAGCAAAGTATTAAGAGACTTTTTCGTTCTTTCGGCTTTGTGGTTTTTGCACATTGAATTATTTAACGATATCAATATTAAAAGAACTGTGTGTGAAACGGCCCTTTTAACTCACAGTGCTCAAATAGCAGGGGTTCAAAAGTAATCGGACGCTCGAATGTTTCTTCGGCAGCTGTTTGTTGTTCCAGCGGCGGATCGCTGCACGAGAGAGCTCGCATACGAGTTAAATGAGGCTTAAAAAATGAATTCTAAAAACGACTGTCGGGGAAATATTAAAGGTAGCTGGTTTGGCAGAGTCAGACAGCTGGGTTCAAAAAAGTAAGTGGGTTCAGGAAAACTAGAAAGGGGTAAGTGAAATTCATTTAAATGGCGAAAAAAAAAAATCCCTTTATCACTGCAAGGCAACTCAAGAATGTTCTCCTAGATGTAGGTGTGCATGATGCCTTGTCAGTGATCAAAAGACGAGCTCACAACCAGAACCTCGGAGGATTAAACACAAGATGAAAACCTCGGCTAACACTCGGGAACAGAAAGACATGGTTACAGCTCTCAAAAACATCCAGAAAGAAACCAGGAGACTTTCTGCGAACAACAGACTGATGAAGGGAAAAATAAAATTCCATCAAAATGAGGGGAAATGAGGAAAAAAAAAAAAGCAGCTCATGACCCGATGCACCGCTTTATCTGTCGAACATGGTGGCGCTTCTGTTATGGCTCAGGCATGCATGGCTGCCAATGGAACTGGCACACTGGCATTTAGTGTTGATTTCACTGCTGACAGAATGTAACAGAACGGCGTACAGGAGCATTCTGTGTGCTCACACTCAGCCAAACGCATCAAAAACCCGTTGGATGACATTTCATCTTTCAGCAGGTCACTGATCCCAAACAAATAGCCAAAGCAACCAAAGAGCTTTTCATTGTGAAGAGGTGAGTGTTTGCTTTGCTCTGATCTTAATTTTAATGAGCAGCGTTCCACACACTAAAAGCTAAAGGTAGAGAGAGACGACATAACGAGCTCCGGAGGCCTGCCAGGGCATCGCCAGAGAAGATATAAACAATCTGCTGATGTTTATGGATTAGAGACGCGGGATTATATCGTCCGTATTGGCCGATAAGGGGTTTAAAAATGGCTCATTGGCCCAAGATGGACATTGACGGGCAGATGGTGTCTGTCAGGCTGGAAGTTCACAGTTTTGGTTTTAAAATGTCACATGAAAAAATAAAAAAATGGCATGTCTTACATATAAGTTATAGTAATAAGTAGATTTTTTTTAAATGTTACCCAGTGAATGTCCATCCATCCATTATCTATACACCACTTAATCCTCTCTAGGGGTCGTGGGAGGCTGGAGCCTATCCTATCGCCAGTCTATCACAGGGCTACACTCAGAGACAGACAACCAAGCACATTCACACCTACGGACAATTTAGAATCACCAATTAACCTCAACATGTTTTTGGACTTGTGGAAGGAACCCACGCTGCACAGGGAGAACATGCAAACTCCACACAGAAAGACCCCGGGTGTCCTCACCGGGACGTGAACCAGGCGGCGGTGCTAACCACCCAGTGAATGTGTACATCTGAAAAGCATTGTCTTCCATGTCTGCACCTGCCAGGGAGCCAACATGATAAGAGCATATTAACGTGATGTTCTCTGCAATTAGGTGGGAGAAGTAATATGATGGTGTAAAAATGTACAAATTGAGACTTTAACGTTGTAGCGATTATCTTATTTCAAACTGAGTGCGATGAAGCAAAGAGCCTGAAGAGCAGCAACTGTCCAAACACTTACAGTATGGGCTTTATTTCCAAAACACTGGACAATTAAATCTTCAGTGCACTGTACTTAACTCGTGAATAATTACCATGTATGCCAAAAAAACTGACATTCACATGTAAAAGAAGCCAACCCAGTGCTTCCCTTATATAATGCAAAACAAGAAGCAGGAGTGACTCTGCATTTTACTGGATGCAGAGGTCCATTGTACTGCATTGTAAGTCTGCACTTTACTCAATGCATCATGCAGTACTTTTTTAGCCGTATGGGCTGGCTTAAAACTACTCTGCTGCCTCTTTGCTGCCTCACATAAAAGGATTACTTTTCCTGTGAGCTCACAGATTTAGTCTTGAACCCTCTCAGGCTGGAGTCAGGGATGCAAAGGTCACAGTAACTCAATGATGCAAACGACACCGGGGAAGAAAAAAGGACGGTTTTGTTTGTTTTAGGATTTCCTCTAATAGGAAAACATAGAGAAGAGCTGTGAGAAATGAAGACAGCTGCAGTGAGAATGTTATTTATTGCTGAACCAGATCCGCCTCATGCAGCCTTTGTAGACACAAACAAAGAACAATTTGAGATTATTGTTTGGCTCAAATCTGTATATTTTCGAAAATGTAATCTTGTGTCGATACATTCTGAATCCTCTTATTTTTGGATCAGGCCTGCTCGCCTTCACAGCCTGTTTATGCAGCCAAATTACCCATCTAGTTGAGGACACAGGCTGTCATTTAAATAGGCAGAGCTTCGCATCCGGTGTCTTTCACAGAGAGAAAAACAAACAGAAAAAAAAAAAAGGGGGATTGAGAGATTTCTGCTGGGTGTGTCGCTCCAGATTATTTACCAGGACGAACAGGACTCCTGTATTAATCCTCCCCCTGCTGCTCCTGCTCAGCGGAGACGAGGATGAGCTGCAGGACTGTCTGCTGTACACTATTCTCTGTCTCTTTTACCCACACACACACACACACACACACTCTCTCTGGGTTCAATATTGCAAACAGCAGGTAATTACTGACAAAATTAAAGGCAAGTGGCCTCATGTGGCCCAGAGGTGCTGTAGTCTGTGTTTCAGCTCTGCTGTCTGTCCTGTACCAATGAAATCCAATGAGACTGTAACATTATGTCGTGCGGGACCCCTGCTGTGCAATATCTGAATTGCCCCCCCCCCCAACATAAAGTAACATTAGAAGGTCATAATCCCACCCTCCAAACAGGAGGGCAGAGAGCGTTCAATAACCATGAATTATTGAAGCCATTGTTCCTGTTTGCTCGGCTGCAAGGCTGGATGCAGATATTCTTTTGTTTCATCCTGCACTGTAAAAACAAAACAAAACAAAAAAAAAACATGCCTCTTCAGTTTTGGAGTTGTTTGTTTAGATATAATCTATTTTAAATCCCTTTTATTTAGACAGTCGTCCACATTTGTTAGGCAGTAAAGACACTATTTGCTGAGGGATCTTGGACTCAGCTGGAGTATTTTCAGCAATTATTTATCAAGCTCTCAATCAAAGAGCTGCACATATATACTGTATATGTATACTGTTATATATTGGGTCTCTGTGGTTTTCTCTGAAGACATGGTGTTTTAAAAAACAGTATTATACCTTTCTACAAGTATTTTATGAGCCCACTTTTTGTCCTTTTCTGTTTCTCCTCTTATTCAGTTTCATCTTATTGTTTTCTATATTTTTAGAGGAAATCCTTTTGAATCATTTCCATATCATTTCCATTTATATTGCTTCTTATATTGTGCGATAATGCCATTTTATGTCTTATATAAAGCGCTCCGAATTGCCTTTTGTGGAAATATAAACGGGGAAAAAATTGTCATAAGTGTTCAGGAATATAGAGCAGTTGTCAAAATAAATAAGATAAACAGAACCTATGAAAAAATAAAAAACATTTACACACACACACACACACAAACACACACTGTACCTCAGTGTGCAGGAAAGTTCTAACTTTTATGTATTTAACTCTCAGCAGGGAAATGAGGTAACACCAATGTCAGATGGTTTCGCCATCCTGTAACTGAAATATCAAAAGTCCCATACGTTACTTTTAGCTTCAATCGCAGGTCAGAACTGTCTGTAAATTGTAAAGCTGAAGGACATTCAGAGACGGTAAAAAGTTTAAGAACAACCAATAACCAACGACCTGATGGGTTACTGTGTTTTCATGTCGCCTGCCTTCATCACATCCTAAACAGACAGTGTTGTGCATGAGCTTGCTTCTCTCCTGCTCTCGGTGCTCCTATATACTGCATGTTAATCCAGCCGCAATCCCAACAAAGCTCTGCTCTTCTGTTGTCAGACAATAGTGAGTGAAAGGCAGCCCTTTAGGAC